AACAGAATAGAGACTCCAGACATTAACCCAAACATATATGGTCAATTAATATATGATAAAGGAGCCATGGACATACAATGAGGAAATGACAACCTCTTCAATAGCTGGTGTTGGCAAAACTTGACAGCTACATGTAAGAGAATGAAACTGGATCATTGTCTAACCCCATACACAAAAGTAAATTTGAAATGGATCAAAGACCTGAATGTAAGTCATGAAACCATAAAACTCTTAGAATAAAACAGGCAAAAATCTCTTGGACATAAACATGAGCAACGTCTTCATGAACATATCTCTCTGGGCAAGGGAAACAAAAGCAAAAATGAAGAAGTGAAACTATATCAAGCTAAAAAGCTTCTGTACAGCAAAGGACACCATCAAGAGAACAAAAAGGCATCCTACAGAATGGGAAAATATATTCATAAATGACAGATCTGATAAAGGTTTGTCATCCAAAATACATAAAGAGCTCATTCACCTCAACAAACAAAAAGATAATAATCCAATTAAAAAATGGGCAGAGGAGCTGAACAGACAGTTATCCAAAGAAGAAATTAAGATGGCCAGCAGACACATGAAAAGATGCTCCACATTGCTAGTCATCAGAGAAATGCAAATTAAAACCATAATGAGATATCACCTCACACCAGTAAGGATCGCCATCATCAAAAAGACAAACAACAACAAAGGTTGGCAAGGTTGTGGAGAAACAGGAACCCTCCTACACTGCTGATGGGAATGTAAATTAGTTCATCCATTGTGGAAAGCAGTATGGAGGTTCCTCAAAAAGCTCAAAATAGAAATACCATTTGACCCAGGAATTCCACTTTAAGGAATTTACCCTAAGAATGCAGCAGACCAGTTTGAAAAAGACATATGCGCCCCTATGTTTATCGCAGCACTATTTACAATAGCCAAGAAATGGAAGCAACCTCAGTGTCCATCAGTAGATGAATGGATAGAGAAGATGTGGTACATATACACAATGGAATATTATTCAGCCATAAGAAGAAAACAAATCCTACCATTTGCAACAACATGAATGGAGCTAGAGGGATAGAGCCAACATGGATGGAGACTTATGCTCAGTGAAATAAGCCAGGTGGAGAAAGACAAGTACCAAATGAATTCACTCATCTGAGGAGTATAAGAACAAAGAAAAACTGAACAAACAGAACAGCAGCAGAATCACAGAACCCAAGAAAGGACTAACAGTTACCAAAGGGAAAGGGACTGGGGAGGATGGGTGGGAAGGGAGGGATAAGGGTGGGGAGAAAGGGGGCATTATGATTAGCATGTAATAATGTGAGGGGGGGTCATGTGGAGGGCTGTGCAACACAGTGAAGACAAGTAGTGATTCTACGGCATCTTACTGTGCTGATGGACAGTGACTGTAAAGGGGTTTGTCAGGGGGACTTGGTGATGGGGGGAGTATAGTAAACATAATGTTCCTCATATAATTGTAGATTAGTGATACCAAAATAAAAAAAGAAGCCTTACTATTCCATAAAAGGAAGACTAAAGTTTTTAGCCTATAAATTTTTAGTATTTATCATGACTTACATGCTGTAATATGGAAACTTCCTGTCTCTACAACTATGTCACTAGCTAGAACTTGAAATTCTTCTGTGGCTTAGAAACAGGAGGTCCTTAGTGTCAGTTGTAAAGAAACCTCATCTGGGGGTAAAAATTCTCTAAAGTTGCTATATTGTAAAATGTATGTAAAGAGCCAAAGCAGAAAAATATAGCATTTTATCAGTGTAATGCATTGTATTGGATGAATTCCCAATGTTTGGGTGGTGAAAGTAGAGAAAAAATTCCCATCTTTATTGAAAACAATCTTTGAGCCAGAGTGGAAGTTACTTATTTCAGGCTTAATGTTGTATAAATAGGCTTCAGAAGATAGAAGGTGAATCTAAATATTCTATTTCAGAAATACACAGTGTGTTCTACATGCTTTAGTGTACTTTAGAATTAGTCTCTTTCCATTCTGCACATGTCTTACAAGCTGTTCTAAATTTCATATTCAAAATATTTGAGCTTCATATTTCTCTTAATTCCGAAGAGAGGAAACTTGTATATTTTCCATTAAATGCATTTGAAAATTTTAGAATTTTTTCCTTTTGTACTATGTGTCTGCCTTCTGAATTGAAAAGCATTGCTTAGTGAGGATGGGCAAAATGGAGAAGAGAAAGGAAATCAAGTGAGGAGGGTGACAGACCCATGCTGTTCTATTTTTATTTTGCAAAGTAACAGCATTATCTCTGACCTGGATGATAGTAATGTTCTCCTGCCTGCTTACAATGATTTATTCTCCACATAGTGATCTGAGTTATCACTTAAAAGCATGTTATCAGATATATAAGAAAAAAAATCTGTAATTCCTTATTTTTGTACTTAGATTAACATTTGAACTGTTCAACATAGTCTCCAAGGGATCTGTCCTCCAGCTTCTTGAACCTCTCTCCTTAGTTTCTACTCTGCTTTTAAAACATGTCAAGACTTTTTCCACTTCAGATCCCTTTCATGTGACTTCCTTTTTCCTGAAATGCTCTTCCTTCTGCTCTGCTCATGACTGGCTCCTCAATATAGGTCTCACTCAAAAATCCCACTGCAGAGAGATCCTCTTTAACTAAATTTATCTAAAGGGTTCTGCTTCCACTCCAACTTCAGCCAGCTCTTACAGTATTATTCGTTCATGTATTTCTTCATAGCAGCTTACACAATTTAAAACCATATTTATTAATGATTTATTTGCTTGAGACTTGTCCCCTTGGCTAAGATGATAAGCACTTAGAAAGCAGGTCTTTGTCTGTTTGGCCATGAAGGTATTCTCCTCAACTATTACAGTGTCTGGCAAAGATTCAGATCAAAATTAATATTTGCTGAATAAGTGAATGAATGAAATGAAGAATTTGAGTATGACTAGAATATTGGGCCTAGGTGTGTTTTATTGAATAGTGGGATGATAAATTATAATACTTCTGGAAGTTCTTTGAGAATTTTTCTGGGAAAAGTTTGCATAATGGCAGATAATAGGAAGTTATGCTAGAAAGGTAGGGTTGGGGCCAAATGCTGTAGGTTCTTAAATGTCATAGCACATACTTTCTAGAACATTTTTTGTGGTCAGTGGATAGTGCTAATGGTTTCAAAGTAGTCAAAGTGTATTTTTGAAATGCTTTTTTATTACTAGCTGTGGAAAACCATTGTGTGTCAGAAGAGTTTCATTCACTCACTAGTGGACAGAGTAACTTTTGAATGTCAGCAGGGTGTTGATTTAATCTGTACTATTTATTTTTCTATGCAGCATGACTGCTATGTACAGTGTGCTTCTGAGCTGGCGGGAGGAAATGTTTGCCTTAGTGCTTCACAGCCTGAGATGAAATGACCCAAGTGATTCTCGAAGGCATTTCTCACCAGTATTCCTCTTATCTCAATGGGGCAGAAGGCTCCCTTAAAAGTTTGATACCATCTTGTTGTTAAAACATTCCCCTTTCCTCACTTGTTCTTCATTTTGTAATTCATTTTTTGAATGCATAGGTTTACCTTCATATTAGAGTCACCCTCTTCTGTGGTTTGTTTTATGTTGGTCTTAAAGGATGTCCACTTTAGAGCCCTTATATGCAGTTTGCTTTTTGTTTCAATGGAGTAGTTGGTGGGTCCTTCCTTAGCTGAAACCTAGTCCTTACAAGGCCTTCTGATAATCCCTATCCTATAATATGGCATTCTTTGTGTAGAGCATATACACATGTTCACCTGGAATTTTCTACCACTTCAGATGTATATATCTAATATCTAAAATGGAGTACAAAGACATTTTGTAGATGTTGGCTGGTTCCCTGAACTGGCTCACAATAATTTGAAAGCCATGGACAGTTCATGAGTAAGTTTCATGGTTTGATCTTAAATCATGGTATCTTCTTAATATTTATATTGGGGAAGGTGGCATTATGTGCAATACTGGGCTATGAATGGTGAAAGCACCAAATAAGTGAAAACCAACATAGTCACAGAAAAGTAACCAATTTACTAACATTAGCCAACAGTTTACAGGAACTACTCAATCACATTTATTCGTGGTTATCAGTATTGGAAGCTCTCAGTGTGAATGATGACTTCAGAGATGCTATTAAACTTAATCTAGAGCACTATAGTTTATGAAGCACACTCACATGTGATCCACCTTTTGATTTGTGTGTAAAATATTTACTTGCTGGGTTTTTAAAAATCTTTTCTTAGGCATGTCAGACGCATCATCTATATGTCAAGTAGGTGGAAAACAAGAAGATAAATGAATCATATGGTACCTATCTTCAGAGAGCTCTACCAGTGTATTAACTGGTTTATGAGTAAACTTACAGTGTCTGTGTAGTGTTTATTAAAAATGCTTCCTTTTGCATTCGAGGGAATCAAAGTTTAAGTCTGGAATCAAATACCTCAATTGAAAGACTGTGGTAGAACACTTTATGTATTGTATGTATCATCTTTACACATTGGGATAATTTACTGCTTTTAACTTTGTATTCTTTATTTTCCAAAAACTGATAATGAATTGATGGCATGGGAGGTATTCCCAATCCCATCCCTTTGGAAAGTCATAGATTTGTTTACATTCCCACTGTCAGGATTAAAGGCAAAAGGAACAAAAAGAAAGAAAAAGAGAAAGTAAGAGACAAAAATGTTGAAAATGTGAATTAGATATGATACAGAATTGGCAGCTTTTTATTTTGATTAATCATAAAACAGAAGCCTGTGGATTCAATATCTTGAAAACAGAGATGGCTTAAAAAACAAGGGGAAGAGAATGAATTAGGAATAAACCACATTTATCCATCTTCACCATAGTCAAAATACCCACCTATCATTTTTGGTGTACTCTTTATTAACCTCCCATCCTTAGGTATGGAGGTTGAATATAATCAATGTGAAATGGAACCTGCCCTGCCACTTTTAAAATACATATATTTTAAAATATATAATATATATTTTTTTCCTCATAGCTTAACCAGTTGGAAAAGGCAGTGCAAGCAGCCCACACATTTTTCATGGCCAACCCTGAGCACATGGAAATACAGCAGAACATCGAGAATTACAGGACAATGGCCAGCACCGAACAACTCCAGTTGGTAGACCAAGAAGCCAGACCACACCTGGTGAGCTCTGGGGACCCTTGCCCTAACCATAGAAACTAAACACCTCTAAGTTTCATTTGACTTACAGTAGATTTCAACAATTGGGTATCTCAAATTGATTCTTAATTTCCAATATAGTAATATTTTTATACTTTTGGAGTTCTCAGATGAAATATTGTAATTGAAAACATGCAGAGAAAATGAAAATTCACTTAGAAAGTCAATATAAGCTGGTGCAAAGTAGAACATGATATAAATAGCTGTAACCCTCTCTGAACCTCAGCTTCCCCTCTGGCACTTAAATTTTACACACACATATTGAAGCCAATGTGAATTGCCCAGGTCACATTGTGGTTTCCCAGCTTCCAATCAAGTGGCTTTTCCATTTTTCAAATTCTGATATTAAAGTTACATAGTTATTTGCTTAAATGAAATATTATTTGAAATCACAGTATGTTGAAAGGGCCTCTTTTTCAATTGGAGAGATCACCATTCTCAGTGTGTGGCCTCCAAGATGATTGAAGTAAAGGGTAAGAGAGGAAGAGGAAGACTTTAGATGGAAGACTTTCTTTCTTTCTTTTTTTTTCTTAAACTGGGCCAGGCCTGGAAATGGACGTCATGCCCTCTCACATCATTCTTCCTGAACTTTGTTGCATGTCCCTTCCTATAATCAAAAGGGTTAGGAAATACAGTCTTGAGTGTGCTCAGGAAGGAAGTGAAATTAATTGGTGTCATGGCAGTCAGATTGATCAGTAAGTCCCTTCTCATTTACAATTAGCTGAAACCAGGGCAGTTACACTTTATCTCCCAGGGTAACCTTTCTTTGCCCTTTCATAGCATGAGTCCAGTACCCCCACACAGGTGATCCTGAGTCTCCCTGAATCCTGCTTTTCAAGTTCCCCTTGTGGGCTCTTTGAAAAAAACCTGTTTCTTTGCAGGAGAGCTATGGTGCAGGAGTGAAACATTATGAGGCTGATGACTTTGAGCTAGCTATCAAGTACTTTGAGCAAGCTTTAAGGGAATATTTCAACGAAGACATGGAATGCAGAGCCTTGTGTGAAGGGCCTCAGAGATTTGAAGAGTATGAATACTTAGGATATAAAGCTGGTCTCTATGAAGCCATTGCAGGTAAAGCTCATTTTTACCCTTTGTTTATTTCCTGATTATAGAAATATTAACTTGTAATCTATAAAAATATTCTAACAATATAAAATTATACATTATAAAAAGTGGAAGATACATCAATCCCATTCTATCTCCCATAGATTAATTTACCTAGCTTAAATTTTGACGATAAAGCTCCCCAAGTTTTTCACATAGAAATGTAAATATTTATGTATTTATTTGTAATATTTTTTCATTTTCATAAAAATAAGACAATACTGTAAATACTGATTTGCAGCTTATTTTTTGTTTTTGTTGTATTTGATGCCTAACAATACATTGTGGACATCTCATGTAAGTATACATAAATCTACCTTATTGTATTTAATGGATGTGTAGTGTTTCGTTATGAGGGCAAGCATAATTATTTGATGATTATTAACTAAGTTATACCTTTTAATCATTATAAACAATGTAGTAGGAATACTTTACTTAAAAGAACATTTTATTATGTATATGGAGATTTAATATATTATAAAATGGCACTTAAAATAGCAGGTAATATGAACTATACATTAATTGGGAGACTGACTAACCATTTATGGTGAGAAATGAGTTCTTTGCTGTGTATGAAAAAATGCATAAAAATGAATTCTGTTTTTATCAATAAGTGTAAAAATAAAACTACTAGAAGAAAATATAAGAAAATATTTATACAAGAGTAGGAGAGGAAACACTTTTCTTAGCTTGACAGAAGACAAGAAATATGAGGGAAAATATAGACTACATAAGATTTATATACATAAAAGATGAAATAAATCAACCTGATATACAAATGATAAGTGGAAAAAGTTGGAAAATAGAGGCAAATAGTTAATATCCGTAATATGTAAAAAGAGCCTGTAAATTACTATTAGTAATGATTTATTTCTTATTTATTGGTAGTAATAATAATAATAAGTAACTTTTTTTAGTAGCTACAATATCCAGAATGTTTTACATAAATAACTCCTCATAAATAGATGTTCCTGTTATTTATCCTCTTCTCCCTTTTTTAAATGAGGAATTTATACCTCAGAAAGTCTAAATAATATCAATGAAGCTGGGAATCAAACTTAATCCTTTCTCACTCAAGAACCCATACTTTTAAGATCTATGTAAATGAAAAATTGGCAAAGGGTAATTTACTCAATAATGTTTACCAGTTATTTGTTGAGTACATATTGTTCCAAGATACATATATATGTACATATATATGTATATATATGGAAAACAATGATCAACTTCATGTATACTTACAGAAATGCAAGTCAGTAAAAGTAAAGTCAGTTTGTTCCCCCCAACTTCCAATAATTTGTGTCTCCATAAAAAGCACCAGTAGGAGCTCAAACCAAATCCCAAGAAATTGTCTTTCAAATAAACATTTCCCTCAATTTCTGTTCCCTTCTAATTTGTTACCAAATTTTAATAGATACTACTGCTAATAATTTAAGATTCCCTGATTCTCTCCACCCCTTGTGCTAACACCCTGGTTCAAATCAACAGTATATTTTAACTCAGCCACTGTTGATTACGTCCCACTGGTCCTCATGTTCTGGTCAGGTTTCACCGGTAGGCAGCCCGAACAGTCTTCTAAAGAAATGAGTCTGCTCACAGACATGCTGAAAACCCCTCAGTGGCTTCCACTGCACTTGGAATAAAACACAAAGTCTTGGGCAGGGACTTTTATGGTTGTGCATTTGTGTTATGTTTTTATGCTCCCTCTTTTTCTTTCTCTTTGCTCCATTCCTACTGCACTTCTACTTCCTTGGATATGCCAAGCTTATTTCCACATACTTTGAAGATGTTTTCCCCTATCATGTGTCTTATGCTCTATCTTGTAAAGTGCTTCCTCCTAAGTGCCTAAGAATAGCGACTGGCCAATAGTAGGTGCTTACTAAGTATTTGTTAAATGAGTGAGTTGGATGAAGAGAGGAAGGAAGGAGATGACATATCATCAAGCACATTACAGAGATCAAAAGGGTTCATAATACTCCCTGTTTGTGAAAATGAAGGCCATAAATTGTTAAGGTCTTTTAGAGGAACAATTAGGGAATAGCTATCAAAAGACTAGGAATAGAGTGAAAATCAGTTTGTCAAATGGCCTACTTGTCACACACACAGTTACCCAAAAGCAATTCACTTCACCTAAAATCAGAACAAAATTCTGAATTATTGAGGAGTTTTTCCCCAAAGATTTTGTTTTGCTGGGCCTCTGTGAGAAACATTTGCCTGAAGCACTGCTCACTTGAATGTCAGTTTTATATATATTTCACATTTCAACTCCAGAGTATTTCTTTGAATTTAATCTTTTATTTGGGAATGGGCAGGATTTTCCTTTATTACGGTTGACTATACCATGGTTTTATAAGGACATGTGCCCTGCCTTTGCCCCCACCTTTGCCTCTACATCTGTATTTCTCAGTGGTCACTAAACAGCTTTGGTAAATGTCCTAGACCTGATTTAGGAAAACCAACTGACAAATCCCCACAGACTAACATTCAGTGACTTGCTCGAGGTCATCACAGCATGCTGGTTGCTGGAAAAGAATAGAGGTCTCCTAACTCAGACTTGTAATATGGAGCATAGCTATCATTATTACCCCCACTTCCAAGAAAGAAAAGTGATGAAATTAGTCACAGTCCCCAAGTTCAACCAAATATTACATACTCAGAAAAATGATTAAGCCTTTTAGGGAGTTTGAACCATATCTAATTTATTATGAGAAGGAAATTTTTAAAAGCATTCCCACACAAGCATCTTGAATCTCAAATTCACTAGAGCATATTCATTGCACAATAACATTTGATACAGAAAGGAGACAAGGAATACAATTCATAAACAGTGACATCATAACTCTATGTTAATTCTTGTCTGGTCCAAAACTGCCCTAAATTAGGAGTAAAACTGGCTTAGAAAATACGGATGTATTAAGAAAGCCAGAATATTTTATTTTAGAGTTAGAACATTGAACACTGGAGGAAAATACAAACAGCTTCTGAACGTAGTTACTTATTCCAGGCTAGGCTTGTTGAAGCCTTAAAGGATACAATTTTATCACTCTTATTTTGCTGCTATTTATATCTTGCTTTGAAATATTTCATTCAGATTTTGGATTTTTGGTGGGTGTGTTTCCTCCTTTTCCTTTTGCTTGTCATTTGGAATCAGGAGGAGTGTGTATTAGAAGGTAAAGAGGAAGGCAAATGGCCAGGTTAATAGGAGGAAACAGTTGAGGGCTGTTTGTTGTTATTTTCTTAGGAAATAAAACAGCTAGCTATTTATTTCTAACATGCTACTCAAATAAACAGAACTCATTCTTCTCCTCCCATCCTCCAACTGGAGTTGAGAACCAGTGTACTGTAGGGATTCTATTAGTCATGCTACATTGGATTGAATTAGCCAGGTTATGTGAAAACTGGCACATTTTCCTATATACCAGGAAATATACATTTCCCTTCTGCTGTGTTTCGGGGTCCCTCTTCAAAGTCACTGAAATACAAGCCAAACTCTGCCTAACAGAGAACTCTTTGAAAGGAGGCAGGTGTGGTAAAATCAAACTGTGCAGTCAGGAAGTCAGATGGCTATACCACCATTCTCAGGAGAACAAGCTCTGCACAAGCAGGAATGAATGATTCTCTTAGCGGAAAAGGCTATCTGCAACTTCACTGTAAGAGCAGAAGATGGGTCAAAGTGTAAGAAGTGTTTTCTTCACTGAGACATTAGCGTTTCCTCAGCTCACGCTTGGATGAGATGGAGCCCGGAGCTGAAGGCTGCATACAAACCCCTCACACCTCAGGATCCTTGCCTGTTTGCAAGTGAGAAGAGTGGGAACAAAGAAAAAGAGGCAAAGTGCTTATTCAAATTCTGCAGCTCCCATCCTTCTATCTCTCCTATTTCATGTAGTCCCTCCAATATTAGGACTTACAGTGTCCAGATGATGGACTGATTGGTAGCTGGGTAGAGTAGGTTCCTAAGTAGTAGTCATGAGGGAATAGTGTTTTCATCTCCCCATTTGGGAAAGGTGCTTGAAAATGTTCACAAGGAGTAAAGCATTCCCACTTTACTTCTCTGCACAACTCCCCACAGGCATATGTGGTTTCTTTCTCTCCACTGGTCCTTAGCACCGTAACAGGATCTGAACCTCCTATGCTGACTCCAGGACATGTGGGCATCCAAAGTAGCCAAAGAGAGACCCGAAGCTATTACATAAGAACGTCGCCTGTTCAGCTGGTCATGGGTAGGGTGAGATGGCCTGGGTCGCTTTTAGGATGTGTAGGAAAAGAGGGTACACTAAGTACACAGGAGGGAAGTACAATATGGAGAAGAGACAGGGAGCCAGAGAATGGGAATCTACTATTGATTACTCTAGTGATGACTGATGAGGAGGCTTCAGTAAGTCACTTACTTTCTTGTGAAAAAGCTTTCTGGGCATGAAGTGAGGATGACAGTGAAGTGAGATCGCCGTCGGGGTGGTGAGGTGAGGGATCCCCTGTGTAACTGTGGCTCTGACTTTGAAGCCTGGCTGCTCAGCAGACTGAGGACCCACTTCTCTCTCCTGTCTTCCAGATCACTACATGCAGGTGCTGGTCTGTCAGCATGAGTGTGTGAGGGAACTAGCCACCCGCCCTGGCCGCCTCTCCCCAATTGAGAACTTTCTTCCCCTGCATTATGACTACCTACAGTTTGCCTACTATCAAGGTAAAGCCTGGATCATCCCTGAAGACCTTTGGGTGGGGGGTTGCTCACTGTTACAGACACTACCTTGTCGTGGTTTTGCCCTGTGCATTCCTCAGTTTAGCGTGGAAGCAATGGAGGTTTATGTATTCCCTCTCTCATCTCATGTAAGTGCAGCTCAGGATGGAATAACAGAGGGTGAAACCACAAGTGCTGAATGCTGTCATGATGCCTGGAAGGATATGCTAACTGACCCTATATATTTTTTTTGAATTTAATTTTTTCAACTTCATTTAAAAGGTAATATATTCACAGGTTCAAAGACCACATATCATAAAAGCCTCCCTCTCTTTTGTTCCCTACAACCCAATTTCATGTCCTTTAGCCCACAGTTTCTTATTTACTCTTCTAAAATTTTATGTAGAAACAACATACACACACATGCACACACACACTCGGACTTATTTCCCTCTTATACACAGAAGATAACATACTATTAATACTGTTCTCTACATTGTTTCCTCACTTAATAATACATATCAGATTATTTTTAGTAGATTAGACCCATGAAATTACCATTTGCTTAGGTCAAAAATGGTCATATTAGGCAATTTTATATGGTTCAACCTAGTTCTGTCAGTACATGGGGATTTTCCTCATTAATCTTCCTTTATATCTGGATATCATTATACTGTAATTTATTTCATGTGTCTCCTTACTGGTGGGCATTGTGTATATTGTAATATTTTGCTATTATAATTAGTAGTCAAATGAATAACATTTTATGTATGTCATTTCACATCTGCACATAAATATCTATAGGATGAATTTCTAGAAATGCAATTGCTGCACCAAATGGTTTATTCATTTGTAATTTTGATAGATGTCACTAAATTTTCTTCCATATGGAGTACATTTTCACTGCTTATCAACAGAATATATCATCAAATATTTAGTCATTCCCCAATCCATTAGGTGAAAGTTGATATCTTATATTGGTTATTGGTTTTAATTTTATTCTAACTAAATTGGTTTTAATTTCCATTTTTCTTATTGAGAAAGAGATTTAGCATCTTATGTTTAAAAGCAGTCAATAGAGTTAGGATTGCTGAAATTGGTCTTAGATATCATGTTGTCAGACTCAATACAAACATCAGAATTAACTCCTAAAATGCTGCTCTTTTAATCTGTATTAAATAAGGTAAGTTGTCAACAAATACTGTCAGGTGGAAATTTGTAATGATTTATGAAAAATATCTAGTACCAAACTAAACCAAAGGTAGAACCTTTTGAAGACTCGAAATTGTGTCCTTCCTTTTATCTGCAGCTATTGCTCCTTACTCTCCTCAGCCCCACCTTCCCTCTTATTAATGTTTAATGCTGGCTTCTCACAGGCATGTTGAAGTATCTCTTAAAAATCTTTTAGACAGATAGAGGCTCTAATGCTGCAACTCCTTGGGCTTTCAGTTGGCGAGTATGTGAGAGCTTTGGAGTGTGCCAAGGCCTACCTCCTGCTCCATCCGGACGATGAGGATGTCCTGGACAATGTGGATCATTATGAGAGCCTCCTGGACGATGGTACTGACCCAGGATCCGTTGAGGCCAGAGAGGTGAGACCGGTGCCCCCAGAAGCAACTCTGCACCCAGCGAGATGCTTTGGGCAGTCGTACCAATATCACAGGGCTTTTCAGGGTATCTAACAACTTTGTAAAGTTTCTTGTACTCAGTTCGCTTGAACGATTAATGCCCAAGGCAAATTTTTTTCATATGTACTAGCTGTGAACATCTGCTGACATGGAGACATTTTTGGTAGCTCTGAAGTTTAGCTCATCTGTCACTGTTTAATGAAAACTATTTCCACTTGAACAGTTATCGTATCTCTTGTTATTTAAACTTACATTTTTCTTTTCTCTAGGATTTGACAGTGTTTGTGAAACGTCATAAACTGGAATCAGAGCTAATAAAATCAGCTGCAGAGGGCCTAGGATTTTCATACACTGAACCGGTAAGAACAAAGAAGAAAGAGGAAATGTTTTCTGAAAGAACCATTTAGTGACTAATTTTTGGCTTAAGTCCCCAAGCCCCATTTGTTGAAGTTTCCAATCCCCTTACTCACAATAACAAAAACAGGGGAGGAGGACCAGATGTTTACTCAATATATATGATAAACTTTAAAAGACTTTAATAGATTCACATATTACTTCAAAACGAACAAAATTAATCTTGGTTGTACCCCATGTAATGCTGACATTTCTTCTCATGTCCATGCTTTTTTACAATTCTTAATAGGGAGACATACCTTTTGTAGAACTAGTAATATAGTATAGACAGATTTATGTTCTGATTTTACTGAAGATATCTTAAGCAATGTCTAGATTTTTTACAGCTTTTAAAATGATTCTTAGGTACATATAGAGTTGACAGGTAATAAACTTCTGCTGCTCAACATTTGATTTGTTTCTGATTATTTTCATCATATTTAAAGCTTTAAACATTTTTCTCTCTATTGAACTATATACCCTTTGAATAAATTCCTGGGAGTGGGATTATTCTTCATCAAAGGATCTGAGAAATTTTAAGTTCTTGAAATTGCTTTTGTAAGAGAATTTCTGACTTCATGGTTCCTAGCAATACAAGAAAGTACCAGTTTGCCAGAGACACCTCAGCAATGAGAAATAACAATTTAAAGTTGTTTTTTTATCTTATATATTATGTACAAAATGTACAGATTTATTTCAAATTATATTCCTTTGGTAACCCACAAAAATAAGCTTTGCATCATATTATTATTAATTAATTTTCCTTCACTTGAATTATCTGGCCATGCTTTTTGTTAATTATCTGTTGTTTACTATATAAGTTCTTTATATAATATACATATCATATATATAGATAGAAAGCTCTATTTGTAATATATCCTATTTGTACTATTTTTTTATTTCTTAGTCATGTCATGTTTTAATTGACACGGTTTAAAAATTAGGATAATTTTAATGTACTCTTTTTAAGGTAACGTTTCAGAATGTGCTTATATCCAGTCCTACTCACTATTCTTTTTTAGATTATGTCATGCCAAGAGACCCCCAGAAAAAAGTTTTATATCTACTGTGATTCTATACAGATGATTAATCAAGCTGACCTTTTTTTGTTTGTTGTTTCTGTTCATAAAACATAAGTTAGTTGGACTGAATAATCTTTTAAGTGTTTCCTGCCACCAAATTCTAAATCACTTTCATGAACAAAAATGTCCAAGGCTGAACAAGGATGTCCAGACTAATCCTTTGCTGTTTTTCAAAATCCATTTGTGTATCATTTTGTCTTTGCCAAAACTGCATCAATGTTAGGCTTCCTTTTCATTAACATTTAAAAAAATAATAAGTATGCTGTATCTTTATATAAAATGCAACTTTCATAATATTTTAGGTTTTCTGAGTATTTTATGTGTATCTTTTGTTTCTGTAAGTGATGCTTAATAACAAAACTACTGAGATTTTTTTCAACTTAAAACAGAATTATTGGATCCGTTATGGAGGACGGCAGGATGAGAATCGGTGAGTTCTCCATGCAGAACACAGCCTGTTCATTTTTAATGAGAAGAAATACTTAGAGTCATACCTTTTATAAGGAATAGGGATAATTAGAAGAGTTCCAAATTGGGAATTAGGAGCTCTGCATGCTGGTCCCAGCTCTTGCTGTCACTTCTGTGTGATTTTGAGTAATTTATCTTCTGGGTCTCATGTTTTCCTCAAATTAAGAGGTTGGTCCAGGTGATATTTCCTCGAATTAAGAGGTTGGTCCAGGCTAAATATTCAGTGATTCTAAATCAGAGAAAGCCGAATGCCGTTTTTGATTTATTAGTAGAATAAAACTATAACATTTTCTCATTAATAATGAATTTTCTTACGGCATTTATTTGAAAGCAAGAAGCTCAGAGTTTTACTGCAAGTTAAAATATTAGGTGTCACTAACTGAATCAAATGAAGAGAATGAATTTTTTTAAATGATAGAAGTCAAAAGTCAATTTATGTGTTACAAGCAACTTAAGGAATCAGAATGTTGGAGTTACATGTATGAGATCACGTGGTCTAGTCTATCCATTTTCAAAGTCGGAAACTGAAGCCCTAACAAGTCAAAGGACTCTCTTAGTCTCTGTATGAAGGACTGGCAGATCCAGACTTTCTTATTCAAAATCTTGCAGTCTTTCATTAGGCTTCAAGGACTCAATTCCTGGGTGGTCTAAAATTACTGTGTGAGATCACAGAATGTAGATGCACATTTGGACTTATCTGGTCTGTGTATATTGAAAGGACATCATGGTATCATTTATGTGTTTCCAAAGTTTGACAGAAACTCGTGTCTTCTTTCTCAGAATAGTTAAGAACCACTACACTAGGATGTAATTTATTTCAGTTCAACCATTGCTCAATGACTTACTGTGTTCAAGACATAATATAACACTCTGAGCATTACAAAGAGGCACATGATAATTTTTTTCCTGCCTGTTGGGAGCCAAACTAATCTCAAAGGAGTTAGAGTTATGGATACAATGAACTGTAATAATAGTAGCTAAGAAGATTTAGAAGTGAAATTGAGTACATTCACTGAAGAAATAGAGAAGAATTACATGGAGGTAATTGACAGTTAATTTGATCTTGAAAGATAGGTGAACTAGGTACCACAAAAATATACACTATTGAATCATAGACTACCTGTGTAAGGTATTCTTTGCCATTGAACATCTTTATTAAGTTGGAAATTACTACTTAAATGCTTTTGCAGGGTCCCTTCAGGAGTGAACGTGGAGGGTGCAGAAGTTCATGGATTGTCAATGGGGAAAAAATCATCACCTAAGATAGACCGAGACCTCAGAGAAGGTGAGGATCTGTGCACTTTTACTCTTAAAGGAGGAAAAGGAGAGGATGGGATTTGAGATTTGAGCAGCTCTTAACCCAGATCAAGGCAGAGCCCACTTTCTCTGGAAAAGGAAGAATAGGACTAAGCAACTAAGTTCATTAAATTCTGGAAGCAAGGCTTAAAAACAAGAATGTCTGATTTACCTATCATTGCCTGTGGTTTCTAACAAGGGTGCTTCAAAATTCACCCTCTCATCTGTTTCCCATGGGAATCCTGTGAACTGGGCAGAACTGCATGTCCATCGTGACCCTCAGTTGAGGACCTTAGGCATGAAGAGGTCACATGACTGGCTTCTGTCACATAGTGAGTGCTGGAGAGTGTGGAATAGGCCGCTGATCAGAGGAACCTGAAGAGGCAGGTCACATGGGATATTAGATTAGTTAACCTAAGATGTTTGAGGTACGTGTATCTGAGCAGTACTTTGAGAGATAAGTGGAAGTTAGGTTGAATTGACAGAGGTGTGGACAGAGCCCCCTTTCCAGTGGATAAAATAAATGGAACAAAGGCACAGAGATGAAAAGAGCAGAATGTTATATGCCTACTTATGCAAAATCAAAATTAGTGGAGTGTTGCCAAAAGTAGTATCTAAATAGAGCCAATTATCATTATAATAATAAATATTAGCAATAGTACTAAACACAGTAACAATCCTCAATTATTATTATTTCTATATGTTTTATATTTTTTCAAGTATATTTAAGCACAGTTAATTTTAATACTTGCAGTATCTCATGTGAGACATTAGTGTTTCTACTTCACAGGCAAGAAAACAGGTTCACAGAGATTTAGTGACATGTTCAAAGTCTCGCAGCTTTTAATAGGTTCAGGCATTTGAACCCAGGCTTTTGAATCCAAATCCCATTTTTTCTTTTCTTCACTTGATGTTGGAACATAGAAGTGTCTAGATATCCAAAATTTATCCCTGATTGATTAAATAATTGCCAGATAAGAAGCTTGGAAAACCTGCATTGAGGGGTACAGCACTTCTTTCCCCAACAAGAGAGCATGTCAGCACATTCCTGGAGCTGATTTGTAACTTCCAGCTCTCTACAGTTCTCACATTTCCCAGCCCTTTCCTTCCTTGGCTTCCAAGTAAGTTTGAGACAGTAAACAGGATAATATGCTCATCTACTCTGACCTGGACCTCAGTTTGTAGTCACAAACTCAAGCTGTTTTATAAGTGCCGGAGACCTTCATGGTCAGCCAGAGTTTATGTTGCATTTTAAGCCAAGAATTCACCCAGGAAGTACATACCATTAAGCCAGCACTTTGCTCTAAAGGTTTGGAGAACTCTAGGGAAATTGCCAAAAATTCAAAGAATTATTTTTTCTAGTTACCAGGGAGTCTAATGTCCAGAAACTGACTAGGAAAGCTAATGACTAGAGTAGAAAAAAGATTACACAGGATGAAGAAAGATCATGATTGGCTGGGTTACCAAATTCTACCATTTCTGCAGAATTTGTTTAGTTGAATGGGCTAACAGATCTTAGCATGTTCTCTGGGGACCCACTGGAAAGCCTTCTGTACTTTCACTATAGAACTAAATAGGGTCTGACTTAAGAACAGTAGTAGACAGGCAAAGATCCCAGCAAGAAAACACTTTCATACCTTAGTCTGGCTGGTAACAGATGTCAGAGAGGCAAGAAAAGATGCATGCTGTACAGAAGAGAATATTTCAGTTTTTCTCATCATCCATAAAGAGAATGTTGTCTACTCTGGTTATCTAACAGTATTCAGTAGTATTTAAACACTAAGATTGGAGTGACTCAGGGCTATATCCCAGAGAGACTCTAGTCCCTGGAACACACATGCAAAGTTACTAAAAAAATTTGTGATTTATCCTTTTTCCTCTCAGCCACCAGTCTTCCAAAGGTCCTGCTCAATGATAATCCCAGAGTCCCAGGGGGTGTAGTAAAAGTAACTGAATAGGGAAGGCCCGGTTTCCAGGGTTGTCTTCCTCTGATGTTCTCTGCAGGGATGGATAACCAGAGACTCCATCTCTCTGGGCCCTATGACCCTCACCTGTTAAAGAAGGATAGCAAGTTTTTGGAGAGGATGGCTGTGAAAAGATGTGTGTAAACTGTAAAGGGCTGTGCTCATATAAGGGCTTGTTAGTCAGTACACCCCTGTAGGTAATGTAATATTTATGTAAAATGATTCTTCCTGCCATGAGCCACAGGCAGTGAGCACAAAAGAGTATTTCCTAGATGATTCCTCTTCAACCAGAGAGTTAGAGCCAGACGCATAACTTTGTGAATGAGAAAAATTAAGTTGTTCAACTAAATTTCCTTGGCCCATGGTGAAGAGTTGGCTGAAGCCATCAAATCAAGCCCCAGGAACCACAACTTACTGGACTACATTTTTATTTTCATTTTTATCTTTTTCCCTGTCTGGTGTGCTACTAAGCCATTTGTAGGCTGGTAGATTTGCATTTCTGAGTGACAGGGTTTATATTTCCTGTTTTCCCTTTTGGTCAGTGGGTGGGTAGTGGTTGTTTTTTTAAAATGTATGTGTGGGAAACCACTGTACAAAACTCTATGCTTAGTGGTGATTGCGTTAGCTACATGAAAGGCAGATCGCCAGTACAAACTCTGCCTGACCTTGTTAGGCTTTAGGTATTGAGGACTCCGTGTTGCTCTCTGTTCCTTCACCTGATATTCTATGTTGCTAATGGCATGGTTGGGGGAACTGTCAGTATCCTCAGTGGCCCTCTTTTAAATATGCTTCACTATGCCATACGCTTATTAAAATGTCTCAGTCAGAATTTAATACAATATACCAGGCATATTTTGCTAAGTCAATCATCATCATCATCATAAGAGCAAATGTTTATTCAGAGCTTAAGAATGATAGGGATTTTTCTTAAGTTTTAGTTTTAGTAACCTTTAAAGTCATACTTTGAAAACAAGCTATATTTAAAATAATACATTCTCAATATGGAAAATAAGAAAAACATGGCCGAGTATAAACGAACCTAGTTCCCTAGTTCCCTTGGTCTGTCTTCCTAATATTACTATTTGAGTTTTATTTTAGAAAATGCTTTCAATGAATCTACAAGTATCATGTCTTTCTTGTTGAAAGAACATCTCTTTCTATATTTCCAAATGGGAATGGAATATGCAGTTCACTTTCCCAAATAGTGAACTCCATATTCCACTGCCTCAATTTGGCTGTGAATCTTAATCAGTCATATGGATTAGAGCAACCTGACCAATAAAGCCACTTACTTCATCAGACTGCAAGCTGAGAAGGCAAAAAACTGAGCTGTTAGCAAGATAGACATTGCAATCTTATATAAGGCAGTCACAAAAGTGATATACCATAAGCTTTGCCATATTCTATTGGTTAGAAGCAAGTTCTTGGCTCTGCACACGCTTGAAGGAAACAAAATTACCCCAGCTTATGATTGCCAGGAGAAGATGAGCATTAGGGACCATCTTCAAGTTGTTCTGTTACAGGAGGGAAAGAAGGGCGATACGAAGGGAACGAGGAGGGAGGGAGGATGACTGTAGTGTTCAATTAAGGGTGAGAACTTGCATAAGGTGTTGATGATTAGGATATTCACAGTGCCTGTTCACATATTAGAAGTTCCAACAAGTCCTCTTAAACTTTGACCCAGTACTTCCCTAACACATTTGATCAAGAAACTCTTTTTTCATCGCGAACTTTCCTGCAGAACAAAATCTGAGAAACACTGAATTGTACAAAAAATATACATTATTTTTTCATTCATCCAAAAGATTGGTACTGAAACTGGGAGCTTGTGGATATATTCCTGGACACCAAGAAATTCTGTATTTATAAATTTTGATGGCAATATTACAAACTTAAGAGGAACTACTAGGTCATATGAGTAACTACATTATAGCCCAGTACTGCCGTATGATTTTATGTCAGTAGGTATGGGTACAGCTACTCTCTCATTGGCACCAGTTAATAGTACTTCAGCAGTTGAAGACCAAGAAGAAATGAAATAGGATAAATTTATAACTAATGTGCTGGGATCAGATACAGGCCAAAATTCAACATGGTGCACCAAGATTTTGTAGTAGTCTCAATAGGGAAAAGTTGGGGTAGAATGAGTCATTTTATACCAAAAGTGCTATGAGGAATGCTAGCTCTGAAGAACCTGGGCCAATCAGTTAGAATATTCATGTGGAATGTAGCTTTTTAGTTTCTACAGAATTGCATTAACCATTTCATTAATAGTATTAATTTGAATTTAGTTGGTTTCATGTTCTTGCTTTTGTTTAGTCTTGTAAATGGATTTTGGTATTATAGTTGTATGAAACTATAAACTAAAACATGTAGTTTTATAAAAGCAAACATGAAAGTAAAATTATGGTAAAAATGATTTGCCAGCACTGCAGCTCCTTAGGAATCTTTTGCTTTAACAGATAACGCTATGTTACTTGAGACTGAGAAACTGTCTCATTATTTTAACATTGCATTAATTGTGGACTGCGTTGATGATTTTATCCTAGCCAGCCTAATAAACACTTAGTGCTCTTCCCTAGTTTGTAACTCATTTTAAGGAGATGGAGTCACATCAGTTTCAATTGTATCTTCCTCCTTGGACTGGTGGGTCTTAGGCCTTTGTGTTGGTGACCACTGCTTGAGTCGGGGGAGACAGGGAAGAATTGTGCTTTCCCCACTGCTCCCCTCAGGCTGAGCTGTCATTGACAGGGGCACATATCAGGTCCCTTAGGTCTCTTAATGAGTAGAAAACAGTGTTTTTCTTTTTTGTCCAGTTTTCTGATTCAAGATGATTGACTCTATTACATCTGAATTTTCCTCACCATCAGAGGCTTTGTCCTTCAGTCCCACCATCTTGTGAAGAAAGGACCTTGTCAGGTCTACATTTTGTAATTTCACCACCTAAAACATGGCCTCAAATAATCACCCTCTACAAAAGCCAAATGGGGCTGATTTCATAAAGTCATGGGCTCTAACCAAGGGAAGAGCAGGTACCTATACGAGGCCATCTTATGCAATAAAAATGACACAAAGATTTTCCAAGGGAGCAGAGAAAAATATTCCCAAAGCATGACCATGTGGAGTCCAGTAGGTGGTGGAAAGAAGACTGACAAGGAGTCAGGTGATTTTGGTGTGACTGTCCTGATGGTGCATTATTACCTTAGCTTCCAGGTGAGGACATTGTTCCACATACCAGTGAAACTGAGGTGTGTATGTCATGTCTAAGGCACAAACATGTAATCAAGTAATTGCATGTGATGTTGTAACAGAGGAAAGAACCAAGAGCTTTGGAGCCGGAGGGGTCCAATTGCCATGAGAATTCTGAAAAGTCTTCTCAGAGGAAAATCTTATGGGATTCCCAGTCCGCTTGCAAGATCATCACTGGAATCAAATGCAAAGACAGTTTATCAACCCCAAAATACTATACAAATATAATACATTATCGTGACATTATGGAAAAACCTGGTAGTCAGACATCTGCCTTTTTCCTGAATCCATGTTCTTTACCAAGCCTCCAAATTTGTAATTTGTCTTTGCATTCCTAAATATTCACTAGGAAAATGACTCTTCTGAGCTGAAAGAGCTATTGGGGGTTCTGTACCTCCCTTCTTGGAGACAGAGGTGACAGAGAAGACCATGTGCTCTGTCCCTTTAGGTGGTCCTCTGCCCTATGAGAACATCACGCTCGTCTATGACTCGCAACAGCTGAACGGGACTCAGCGGGTTCTCCTGGACAATGTCCTGTCAGAAGAGCAGTGCCGGGAGCTCCACAGTGTGGCCAGCGTGAGGACCTGGAGCGGGAGGGTGCCTGACTGTGCTGACCTCGCATGAGCCAGGAGACGTTTGGTCCCAGTCTCACTTGGAGCCAGGAAAGCAAGCCTGAAGTGTCACTTTCTTTGATTGTGGAGGCTCTTTGAGAGCATTTGTGTTGGGATGTTTTGAGTTTTGCCCAGACCTGGATGTACCAAGTGGGCCTAGAATAGTTGGTAGTTTAATTCCTGAGAAAACAGCCATTCAGCACATGCCTTGCCTACCATAGAAAGTCAATGACAAAAATCCCTTTACTGTAATCCATACTTAACCATTGTACTCCACTTACATTTTACTCATTTCTGCAAAAAATGGTGGTATTTTATAATGAAAATGTAGAATCAGGGTTAAGTAAAGATATTTCTTTTGGTTGAAAGAATTAATGGTACCAGGACCCTGGAACAGAATCAGGATGGTTCTGGGTGTTGACTTTAGTTCTTAGCTTTCTGGTGGCCCAAGTGGAGAGGGGGAGCCAATGAATTCAGAGTTATCAATAATAAAGCTTCTGCTTGTATTTTGCTTCTAGGGAATCATGCTTGTAGGAGATGGATACAGAGGAAAAACGTCACCCCACACACCCAATGAAAAGTTTGAAGGTGCCACTGTCCTGAAAGCACTCAAAGTAAAGTCTTAACTTCTTTTTGAGTTGGGTTCCTAAGGGTTAGCCCAGGACCTTCTGTGTATGACAAATAGAGGACAGAGGAGAGTTTAGACGATGGACTGATGGGGATGGAGGAAGGGAACAAGTATGAAATGTCAGTGTCATGGTTCTCAGTCGTTCCTCCAGTTGGTTTATCGATTTATCAAACTTTACATTTCGTAAACTTGAATCTCACAAATAACATACAAGCCCCCTTCCTTCAAGGAGCTCACGGTCCAATGGTAAAGTCATAGCCAAGCAAGGAATCTTTCTGTACTGGAGCGAGTGCTGTCCTGGAGGGACGAGGAAAGGGCTCTGAGAGATGAGAAGAGTGGTTAGCTTTTCACGTACCCCCTGTGATTACGAAGGGCTCATTTCCGTGGCTCATCTTCCAAACCCAAATCCACAAGCAGGTGGTAGTATCCCCGCTAGCAATGCAGAGATGACCACCCTGTGCTGGCTTACTGAAACCTAGTGTCTGTCTTTCTCAGGCCCTCCAATCAACCCAGCGTTACCTGATGTTCTTCTTTTTCTCCAGTTTGGGTATGAAGGCCGAGTCCCACTGAAGAGTGCCCGTCTGTTTTATGACATCAGCGAGAAGGCTCGAAAGATTGTAGAATCCTATTTCATGTTGAACACAACCCTGTATTTCTCCTATACACACATGGTCTGCCGAACTGCCCTGTCTGGTGAGATTCCAGAGTCTGGAATTGTTCCCTTCTGCCCACAATGAAATAAGAAAGAGAACAATGCAGAACAGAGCCCTGTGACATTTAGACTGACGGGTTAGAGGAGTTCTGAATTCCGAGAACAAAAGGAGCTTACTAACTCCCATTTTTCCCTTTCCTCCTTCTCTCCTTTTTTGGTCCCCAGAAGTTCCAGAAGACCATGACTCTGCCTATTTTTCCTTTCACATCCATTCTCCTGCTTGCTTAAGTCACAGAGAAAAATGATTTTCTGCTCTAGGTTTTACATTTTCAGGAACCAGGAACCTGGAAATTACAGTCTCATATTATGTCCAAAGGTACTGAGTGGAAGCATGGACATGAAGGGGTTGTTGAGAGAAATGTCCCCAAGAAGGCAGGGCCTCCTCCCTCCTCGCCATCCTTGTTTTCTCTCTAGATCTGCTCTTCTATGAGGGGAGGGATAAGGTCACACAAGTAGACTTTTACATGTGTGAAGGTACAGCTGATTCAAATCTTTCTTTTTTACACTTTCATTTCATCTGCGTCTCTTTACCACCCCACATAAAAGTACACCCCATGAAATGCATGGAATGTCCGTAAGTACATTTATATCAGATGACCTTCAGAGCTGCAGAAGCAGGTGTGACTTGCCCACGGTTTTCCATCAAGTTCATATCAAAGTGACCAGAGTCTCTTGTCTACTCATCCACTGTTCTTTCATTCTCCTTTGCCTTCTGTCTCCTCAAATTTACAAGGGCACCAGCAGTGGGAGAAGACAGACAGATTGCTAGCTTTTCCCTTTTCTGGCAGGTCAACAGGATAGAAGAAATGACCTCAGTCATCCCATCCATGCTGACAACTGCCTGTTGGATCCAGAGGCAAACGAATGCTGGAAGGAGCCTCCTGCTTACACATTCCGGGACTATAGGTACAGCCAGCACTGCTTCAGAATCAAGCTTTTGTCCAATGGTTATCAAAACCCATGGTAACTAGAAAGCTGATCTGTTTTGTTTGTCATCATATTCATGTCTACAAGGCAGAGATTCTCCAATAATCTCCTGAAACAGCTGCTACAATTGGGAAGCAGCTTTATCTTCTCATAATTTTATCTTAAAAATCCATGCACACATTGTTGCATTCAACTCCATAAAATGTCCATTTTGTTTTAACAATAAAAGTAAAGTTTATTTTTCTATCATTTAACTTTCACTGAAACACTCCCTTTGTGGTCTGTGTATCTTAGGCTGAGAAAACAATGGTGGTGTCTCCACACACATGGGGATCTCATCACATCGTTCATCTATGTCTGCATTTATAAATAAGAAACTGTACACTCAGCAGAAAAAAAGTGTTTTCTCTTATGAATAATATTTTAGTGTGTAAAGAGTCAGGAGTTATAGTGTCCATGTATATAACAGTGTGTTAATTATTACTACTCTGTGATCTATACAAAAACATTTATTGAGCACCTTCTATCAGCAAGGCTAGGCTATATCCCCTGAAGCTTTGGAGCTAGGCTATTTCCCTAGTAGTGAAAATATACATGCTTTAGAGTTACCAGTATAAAAGGAAAGAAGAGGATTATAAGTAGTGAGGGCAGGTTCAAAGGCTAGATTAAATCTAGTTAGACTTTCTTTGGAGGAAATGTAAGAAGAGATTTGAATGTAATTAAAATGTTAATGTAAGTGGAATATTTCAGGAATATGACCCAAACTACATCAAATCTTACCTTTGTTTGGAGGATTAATTATTTCAATGTCTAGTTCAAAGAACACTGACTCATCAGGCTGGTTGGTTCACCAGCCTCCAGTATTCTGTGACAGCCTTGTTATCACGTGTTAATAGCACAAATGCCTTTCCCTTCCTCTCACAGCGCTCTCCTATATATGAATGATGACTTTGAAGGAGGAGAATTCATATTCACCGAGATGGATGCCAAGACTGTGACTGTAGGTAAACGTATTCTTGTAAATTTATTTAGCACTTCTTTATTTCCATCTTGCCATTTTCCAAGGACTCAGACTGTTAGGTTTTAAATATTTCTGAGCTCAAGGATTCAAAAGATGAAGAGAGGCCCAGTAAACATATATGGTATGCTAAAACAGAACCATCAATAAAAAGTAAGTCCATTTTAAAGAGGAATAATTTAAAGAATAGATAACAAGGATTTGCTCATGATCATATAGCTTATTAGTGTTAGACCTGGAGTCAGAACCTAGGTCTTCTAACTCTTGGTCAAGTAATCTGATGGAAACATAGAAACACCGATTCCTATGTCACCCAAGCTTGGACAAGTCAAATGATACCACAGAATGACTTTCAAGTAACCTGATGTGTGTGTGCTTAGATGGAGCATTGGCCTCCAGACCCCTAATTATCAGAGTTCTTATCTATATGTGTATGTGTGTGTGTGTATATATATATGTAATTTTATATATATATATATACAATCATATGTGTATATATATAATTGTGACTGTAAGTAAACCTATACCTGAAGATTAATATATATACATTCAGATATACATATATGGTGTGTATGTATGTACACTTTGGGTGAGCTTCTAAACACATCTTCATAGGTAAAAACAAAAAGTTAGATTTAACTGCCATCTTCCTAAGCAAACCAATGATCTTATAAAACCAACCTACCAAGCACTTACAGATCATATGGCCAGCATCCTTTGGTCTTTAAGCCAAAGAGCATACTTCATGGTGAACAAACAGGTTCTTTAATTGAGATAATTGAATAATAAATAGATCATGAGATATTCCTTTCTTCTATATAAAATCTAATAGTTGAGGCATATATGTGATAAACTTTAAAGATTTTGCATTATATAATCAGTTCCCACAGTTTTTTCTGAATTTTATGTTTTCCCCTCATATTTTTCACCCTCCTCTCAATAGTGAGATGTCCATATATCATTCATGGGATTAACTGGGGTATAAGCAGATATCAAAAACTATATGTTACTAGATTTAAAGGGAATCTTATGAGGATTCTGATTAAAATTGCCCAGAAACATTGATATAATTAAGATAAAATAATTTATACAATCTATTACAATAATGTGTATTTAAAAGTTCATGATGTCCCACACTTTTTTGTAAGAAGCTTAAATGTTAATGTGGAATATTTTGATGCTTCATGATCTGGGAATTAAGTCAAGATTGATGATCCTGTTTGGAGTTTAAAATCCTGGTACAAAATTACCAATTTTTGAAGACATTATGTGCAGAAAACATAAGATTTATGAGCTCTGCTAACACTGAAAATGAAGTTCAAAGCTGCATCTCACACAGTTGTAAAGAAATAGTGGGTGAAAATATTTATTTGCTTCTACTCCACCTAGTGGCCATATTTGGAAATGCTTACTGTTTGAAAGTATGGTATACCTGGAATACTACCTGTGAATCAGTAATTCATTAACTATTGAATGTAAATAACAGAATTATGTTTTTGCAAAGATGTGGAAGCAGATAATACTCCCCTCTAAGAGATTTATACATCTAAGAGGAAAGTGTAACTTATTTAAAAAGTACTGAATCTATCACCAAAACTCCCCAAAAGAGTAAAAGAAAAACAGGTGTGAACTATTTTGTCTTGCCGATGGGTTTCCGGCCCAGCCAAGTTCATTATGGATTCAGTAAGACCGAAAAAATGACGGTGGAACGTTCTTGGGGTGAAAGGGTTTATACCCAACTTTATTTTCACTGTGGCTGGTCAATCACTAAAATCCCATCCACTCAGAGCAAGTCTTCATGCAACAAGCCTGTCTCTGCCCCTGGGCTTCTCTACCCCGCAGTCGTTTCACTCTCTGTTTCCGGTGCTGGCACCACTTCAGCCTCTGCTCTCTTGCAGCCATGCAGCCCAGAGCATTGGGCGGAGTTCTTTATATAGAGTGAGTACAACCTATTGCTCACACGTGTGCAGTGAGCAAGCCGACCAGGGTCATGTGAGAATCCTGGCCCTAGGAACTTTTCATTTTCTCATTGTCAGATTTTTTCATTCGAAATCTGAAGGTTCAAAGATTTTTTTTTTTCTCTAATTAGTCCTCCTTCATATTAGTATATGTGGTGGTAGAGTTTGGGGGGCATTTTATGGATAATTGAAATTCCTAGGTAACCAGTCCCAATAAAGAAAAATGGATAGTTTTCCTTTATAGCTTTTCCATCTTTGACTCTGGAGGGATAAATGAGGCAGAGAAATGTTCCAACTTGGTGTGACACAAGGAAAAGTCTTTGCTTTGGAAAAGTCTGGATATTGTATAATTAAGTGAATAGTGGCTGAAGATTTGCACTTAAGACAAGCAGAGCACAAAGACTTCTCTGACTTTTAATTATCAGTTAGATGAAAAGTAAAAGGAATTTCCTTTTATCATACTTGGAAGATATATGGATTATTTTCAACAGCAGTGTATTTGTGAAACATGCATATTTAGGGATTTTGTTTCTTCTGTGCAAGTTTGAAAAAATGAAATTTAATGAGTTCCATTTGCTTCATGAAAAATTAAATATGGAGCTGTGTTCCAAAAGTATATTTATAATCTTTTATCTACACTTCAGAATATATTTTCCTGTAGAAGCAATGTTATAAATTGAATTTATTTATTCAATAGGCCCATCATAATAGCATGGTTGGTACCACTCTTGTTTTTACTTTATTTTTCTAAGCCTTACTGTAGAATGAGTAAAGTTTCTGTGTTTTTCAAGAAAGAAAAATGAACGCTTCTTACATCAGACCCTTCTTTAAACAAACGCGAGGCCCCTGAAACTGTGTTGCCTAAGCTCACTCAGTTTGGACTGCCCACTCCTTTGATCTAATACCCTGGCTTGGAGCCCCCAGGAATGCCTCTTTTCCCTTCTGGCCTCTTCTACCCAAACATTAGTGGACAGTTCCACCTGAGCAATGCACAAGCTTGGAAGGCTGTGTCAGTATTTCGGAGCCCTAGAAGCCATGGAAGCCTGGTCACCCCAAGGGGCAGTTCTCAGCACTGGAGGTATTGCATTGGCTGGGAACCACTGGAAAGGGCGATGGTAACAGTAGGGACTATAAATGAAACCATCAAATTAAAGTAAATATAAATTTAAGAGTATCATATGAGATTAGACTTGACTTTTTTACATCTTTGTGTTATGGAAAGGTCACAAACCATAAATGCATAATTGAGGAATTAGAAAGGGTATGTACACTCATGGAACCACTGCCTGGACCAATAATAAACATTTGTTGGCACTGTAGATGTCCCCTCAATTGGCTTTAGAATTCCACAAATATTAAAATGCACAGACAGTGTGCTAATGCTAAAGCTAGAGAAATGAGTTAACACACCGAGCTGTTCCCTTCCTGGAGTCTGCTGGCCATCAACATAGCATGTGGAGCAATTATTGTGCGCAGTGGACTATGCCAACCATTTTACCTGAATATTTAATTCTAAGCTAGATATTATTTTGACCTTATCTTTGTTTTACAGATGAGCTAATTGAAGCCATCTAGTCTTTTTCAGCCCTTGGACTCCATTCTTTGATGCAAAACATGACATAAGCAATCCCATGGAAGGATAGGGCATGGAGGTTTTAGCAATGTTTATGATATAGGAATTGAGACTCTTAATTTTCACTTTCTTTCTCAGGCCTCTATAAAACCAAAGTGTGGGCGTATGATTAGTTTCTCATCTGGAGGAGAGAACCCACATGGGGTAAAGGCTGTCACCAAGGGCCAGAGGTGTGCTGTGGCGCTGTGGTTTACCTTGGACCCACTTTATAGAGAACTGGTGAGTTTCTGACCCACCCATACTGGGTTCCATAACCCTGCTTTGTGAAATGATCTGTCTGAAAAGTTCTTTAAGCTAATCTATAATCCAGGGACCTTAGAGAGCATGAGGAAAAACGTCTATAGAATCCATTCTCTGTGGTTTCTGTTTTCTAAACAAGAACACATTTTCCTGATCAGATCTGTTACCTAACAATTACACAACTAATATTTGTGAGTTCAAGGGAAAGAAGAAGGGCTGTGAAGGCAGTTCTTAATCAGATGTGTTCTAAGGGAATGTGGAAACAGACATTTCAGTGATATTTGGCGGCAGTCTCTGATTAGTCCTGTGCTTACTAACAAACTGAAGTATTAGAAGAAAGGATCCACTTTCTCCTGGTCACCAAGGAGACTAATTTGTTTTCTTGTCAAATCATTAATGGGAGCACTGAATAATTTATGAAATATATGTAGAACAGGGTGAGGAACCTAAAAGTTCATTATTATTTACAATTATTGAATTAAAGATTAAATACTAGAATAGTGTTATTATTATATCAGAAGTAGGGGAAGTCACTTAGCCGGATAAGAGACAGTGTTCTCACCCTTCTTAATGCCCTTGGGGATAGCATAGTCTCTGCCTGTGAACTGCAGTGGAAGGAATTAAGACCAAGGGATAGAAGCCCCTGGGAGGAAAATGTGGGTTCCCCAATAAGGAATAACTCACATTATCACCACTGTTTGGCGAGATTGTCTGTTTGGGAAGTAATAAGGTCGCTGTCACTGGATGGCTCTAATCAGAGCCTCAGCAACTTCCTGGCACGGAACTGGAACTTCACAGCAAGATTTAAACTGGATGCCTTCAAAGTCTCCTCCAGTTCCAAGTACTGATGAAACTATGAAATTATAATCTTTATAATGACTTCCTACCCAATTTTTCTCTTTATGTCCCTAAATTGAGTAAGATTTCATCAGAAACTATTTTAAATTAATTTATCTTTCTTAAATACCTTTTGCCAACAAATCTCACACATTCTTTAGGACACCTTCCCTAAGCATTCTTTCATATTTTTAACAAATGCTTACAGAAGATCTACTATGTGCCTGGAAAATTCTGCTAGACAGGGTTTGGGGTTCCAAGGGTGAACAAAACATAGTCCCTGACCACGAGGACTTGGAGAGGTCCCCAAGGAAATAGACAATGAGACAGAGTATGCATTTTGTAGCAGGGATCAAGGAAGCTTTACATAAACTTGGTCCTAAAAAAGGAGGTGATAGTCAGGCATAGAAAGTGAAAAGAATGTTTCCTATGGGGAACAGAGCACACGGAGTTCTGAGACTTCAAGAAGCACTGAGCAGCTTCCTTCACCTGGCATCCCTTTCTTGCCTTGTGCTTCTTCACCTCCCAAACTCCAGCACTCACCCACACTCCTTCTGCACTAAGGCACCTAGGTTCATGAGCTATAAGAATAAATTGTTGAAAACCTCACTATTTTCTCTCTTTGGTGTTCAATTCAGAGTGTAAAGAATATAAAAGACATTTAATCTGTTTCACTAATCAATATCCCAGCCCTCTCTTCCAAGGTATTTTCTTTCAAAATAAGCTAACCTTGCCAAAGGGAATTTCCTGTTCCTTACTAACCTAGAAAAGTGCTAGGAAAGGTCTCCAGTCTCCAGGCAGTAGCGGCATCTAGCGGTCACAGAAGAAAGTGACCAACCCTTCTTCAGCAACTACTAGAAAATTGATCCTAGGACTTGATTCCCAGACTGTTCCATGTTGGAATCACCTGGGGATCTTTAAAAACTGCATTTCTCAGCTCCCACCCTCAGAAATGCTGGTTTGGTTGATATGGGGTGTGATCTAGGTATCAGGAGCTTTAAGGCTGCCCAAGTGGCTCTAATGTAAACTCAGCATCTCTTCTCAGATTAAATCCCTGAGCACAAAAAGCCTTCCCATGAAAAAGTCATCAGAACTGGCAGATTTCCATGATTATTATATTTTAAAAGCATTCAGTTCTCAAGGAGTACTTAGCATCATAAACCCTTAGCACTAGACAATATCAGAAGCTGCAGCTCCTGGTACATAGAGTTGTAACTTTTGAACTGCCTCGCTTTCGGGACAGATGTGATTGCAGTGGTGTCCCGGGGCAGTCAGCTCTGACAGGTCTGTATGTAAGTCAATTTGTTTAGCAGCAAGTTGTTACCCCATATTCATAAAGTAGCAGGCGTTTTACTTACTAATCATAACAGCAATTCAGTTTTCTGTTATTGAGTATGTTGGGGCCTTCTTGCCTTTGTGTTAACATCATTTTCAATTACAAGCTCTTGAGTTACAAGGGACTTTGTTTTCAACTCATAAAATAGTTATATTTATAACTTACTCCGCTGGGCATTGAGCTAGGGACTATCTACAGGTGACACAAACTAGGTAAGACAGAACCCCTATTTTCAAGGAACTTGAAGTCAAAATGAAGAGATAAGCCAGAGGCCTCAGTCATTGAAACATAAGGCGATGTTCAATAGGAATTATTATAGGCAAATGCTTGGTGTTTAGAGGTTATAAACAAGAAACCAGAAAAGCTGCATGAAGGAGATGGCATTTGACAGAAACCTTGAAGGATGAGCATGATTTCTTTAGGGAGGCACATTTTAGACAGAGAGAGCCCTTTGTCCACTATGTATTTATTCAACAAATATGAGGGAGCCCTTGATAAATGTCAGTAGTGTTTCTGGGCAGTAGAAGTTACAGTAGTGACCAAAAAAGACACCATTCCCTATTTTCATGGAGCGTACCTTCTTGTGGAAAAAGAAAAACAAGAAATAAGTAAGAGAATAAGCAATTGAGAGATGTTCAGAGAGTGACAAATGATGTGTGGGACAGGGAACAAGGTAACAGATTCAAGAGCACAGGGAAGCGGGTGGCAAATTGTGAGAGCTCTTCAGACAGGTAACTTGTGGATTACCACCTGGGTGACAGGAAGAAGCCAACTGGGATAAAGGTCTTGAGTTTGAGATACCATTTGGAGGTAGAGCACCTGGGCCTTGATAGATGGGGTGTGGGGTAAGCATGATGGGGTATGACAGAAACATCCAGAAGGGTGTTTGCCTAGAAAAGGACTGGGGAATTCTTCTGCGAGTGCTGAATCCAGGGTCCCAGAGGTCATTAGGCAGTTGGAGCCTAAGGTGAGGTGAGAGGAGAAGACACGCTAAGCTCACGGAGGAAGGTCTAAGTCAGGCAACTCCTTATGAGCACATCAAGAAGACTGGACCTGGAACTCAAGCTGTAGGAACCTGTGCAAAGGCTATGGGCAGGGAGCAGGGCAGCAATGTGGGCATGAGGTAAGTGCAATGGCCCCAATAGCAGCATGTGGGATAGGGGTATGAAACAGAGAGGTTAATTTGGGAGCTGCTCTGCAGCAATTGAGTTAAAATCTGACAAGATCCTAAACTCATGGTTCTCAAGCGAGACTGATTTTACCTCTTCAGGCACATGTGGCAACATCTGGAGACCTTTTTGGTTGTCACAACTTGGGGAGGAGTGCAGCTGGCTACCTGTTAGGGATGCCACTAACCATCTTACAAAGCATAGGACAATAAAGAATGATCTGGTCCAAAATGTCTGTAGTGCTGAGGTTGAGAAGCCCTGGCCTAAACCAAGGTTAACAGTAATGTGCACTTAAAAGAAAGGGGCAGAAACAGGAGGCAGAACAAAGAGGATTAGGGGAGTTATCAGGTCCAAGAAACAGTGGTCTGGCTTATAGGGCAAGTGGATGAGCAGTGGTGGTCTTCACTGAGAGAGGGAGTGTGTGAAGAGAAACAGAGTAGGTGTTTGGGAGACAAAATTGTGAATTCCACTCAAGCACTGAATCAGAGAACTGGGTTGGAGATGTCTCTCTGGGACCACAAAGTAGAAAGGGTAGTAATCAGGTGAATATACACAACCTCTTGGCAAGAGCAAAATCTTGGAAAATAATTGCTTAGGACATCAGGAAGTCAGGAAAAGGCATCAGTGCAGGAATGAGGATGAGTTTCAATTCTTAACTGGATTTAGCACCAGTCCATGTACAGATGGATGCCTGGGAGTGTTTGGGAAGCATCTGCCGCTGGGGCTGATAGCTATGCTTGTAACAGAAATGTGTAAATTGTCTTTTTTACAGGAGCGAATACAGGCCGATGAAGTGATCACAATCTTAGATCAAGAACAGCAAGGGAAGCACCAACTGAATATCAACCCCAAAGATGAGCTGTAAAATGAGAGTGTTCTATTATCAGATATTTATTTAAATTGTTAATCTTATGAGAACCTTTTTATTTTTGTACAGAGCCATGGTATAAATTAACAGGTTAACCTGAGTCACCCTTCTGTCCTTCTGTCCCTAAGGATGCTTGCTTTGCCTCACTCTGTCCTGGTATTTCAATTCATCTCTCAAAGCCTGGTCACCCACTCCACCCTGCAAAAACACACACACACACACACACACACACACACACACACACACACACACACGCACACGTGTACTTCATTTGCTCCTAGTGTGGGATTTGGAGTCAGGGCCTTCTGGCTCTGTGCTCCAGGAAGGGCTGCCCTATGACTTTTCTCTTTAAACGGGGGTTGAAGAATGATTCTTTACCACAGTGACTTTGGAAGAAAATCTGTAATCCCACCTGAATCAGGACTCCATCATCACACTGTGTGAGAGTGGGGTTCACTGGAGAGAAGGATCATTTTGTAAGAAAAATGGACTTCTGATGGGCTCCAGTCTTCATCTGCCTGTGTTTTGCCGACCCCTCCTCTTGCTCCTGTCCAGCACATGGATTCATGCTTGTGTCGTATTTGTTTAATACAGGGAGGCTTATTTTACTATCCGGCATTTATCTTCCTTCTCCCAAACTTTTGGTTTATCTTGGGAAATGGCTTTTTGGTCCCACAGGTGCTTTGGGGACAGCCCAGAGACAACACTGGCCTATGGTGAGTTTTGCTGGCAGTTGCTCCAGGGCTGCAGGAAGGCGGGAGAACTGCTTTCGAAGGAACAGATGGTTAGCAAACAGAGGGGTTAAATCCAGAGAGCCTCTGGTCCTTGCTGCAGTTCTAAGGAAGACACGGCACAGACATTGTTTGGGGTATGACTGGGGTGGTTCTAGCCTAGGGGAGCCTGCACCACCAACGAGGGGGGATCACCTGCCTCTGCGATGGGCAGTAGTAGAGGTAGAGGCCCTTAAGAGAACCAGCAAATCAAAACATTTCTGAAAAATCACATTTCCTTTCTGCCATTTATGATCATGTTTAGCGGTAAGAACATTCAGTCTTTGACACTGAGAAACTGATTCATAGAGATTTATGTGCCACCTGTTTCCACCCGACCTTTGGTTGCCTTTTCATCATGGGAGAATGGAAAGAGCACTCGGGTTATGATCCCGGCCTGATCAGATGTGCCCTGCTGTGTGACTGGAGCTACTCTCTTTCCCTTTCTGGGCGTCGGTTTCCTCTTCTGAAAATGACATAATGGGTTGTAATTGTTTCCAAAAGCCCTCCTGCCTCTTGCTCCATAAACAAAACAAAGCAAATAAAACAAAAACAAAACTGATTTTACCAATGTGCACAATTAGAACATATTTACTTCTACTGACATTTTGAGAATTGTGCTTGGGTTCAGGAGTATATTTGATTTTAAAGCTTTAAACCCAAGTTTTGGGTGAAAACATCCTGAGCTTTGAAAAGTAGGTTGCTTTTCGTTTGCTGTCTCACTGGGAAGCGTTTGCTGGCACTCAGATTTGCTGATAGGAGAATCTGGGCAAGGATCTAATTTCTGTTTTCTGGCAACAAGGTGTCAACAAAGAAAAGAGTGTTTGGCTCCTTACAGCTCCTGCTTCAGGGTGCTGGGGGCTCCTGGAGAGGCAGGGACGCAGGCGCCAACTCCGGTGTCAGCCCCTCGGAAAGGGGGTGCCGTGTGGCAGAGCCACATCTGGGGCCGTTTGCTGACAGCCCAGGCTAGTTATTCCTGTTTTACAGGTTACCCATGTTGTTTTACGCCTGGGACATCATGTATCCACTGAAGCATTCATTTTTTAATCTGCTCAACATCAAACCATACATAATTTCATTAAAATAGTTAGGGAGTGTCATCCGGTGACTTTTTAAAAATTGAGCTCAGAAATTGCAGTCTGTGTGCTGTATAGTCCCTTATGTGGAAGGCTGGAAAAACCCATTCGAATTTGTGCAGCTTTTAGAGCTGAAGAAGGCCACAGAAATCACAGACCAATTCCATTTTTCTCTCTGGGAGGAAACCGAGCCTCAGAGGTGGGAAAGACGATTCCATGGTTACAGAATTCAAGCAGGCAGAGCCAGCACTGCTGAACGGAGTTCTGAGGGAAGCCTGGCCGGGGTTGTGTGGGTGCTGGAATCGTGGCACAGGGCAGCACCCACTAGAGGAAAGGGTGCCTTTTTCTATTTGGCCCCAAATGGAGATTGCTCATCACTCCATGGACAGCAAGGCTGTGTCTGTCCAGAAGGGGTGCCTTTTTCTAATTCACTCAAGACGCTATATGTGTCTGAGGCAGCCCAGGCTGAAAAGCCCAATTTTTTGACTCCCAGTCTAGGACTCTTCATCTGTGTCACTTAGGGAGTGTACCACTCATTCTGGTGATTATAACTCCCTTGTGTAAAAAGCCTGCAGTTTCGTAAAGCTTTTGTATTTGCCTATATGATAGTATTGAATGCTTTTAACACGGAGCTTGCTCACGCATTGGGAAGCCCAGCATGGTGTACGGTGCCCCTTCTGCAGATGTAGAAATGGAGAGAAGTGAAGGGAAGTGAGAGCCTGCGGCCGCCCCCACTCCAAATGTGTCCATGCCCAAGGTAGAAGCAGTCTCTTGAACAAGAGGAGAGAAAAACAGCAGGTTTGTTTTCTCCCTCACACATGCTTCCAGGCATATTAAATATAAAAATAATTCATTAATGTGAAGGAAAAATGTTTGAGTTTATAAAATCTAAATTTTTTCTCCTTTTTCCCTGCTGAGTGATGCATGAAGGCATATTTCTCTTCTCTCTGAAAGAGATGGAATATGGGTCGCCTTCAGTTAGATGAGCCCCATTTCTGATGGCTCTGCTTTCACACAGCTCACCAAAGGCAAGAAAGCTCTAGTCAGTTATAAGGCAGAAACTATCTTAAACTTCATCTTGAGCATCAGAAGAAACAAGTCCTCTTCTTGAGAACAGGGCAGTTTTCTGGGATGTGTGAGGTGCTTTCTGGGATGTGTGAGGTAAATTGTTTAACAAGAAAATACCAGTTTGAATGCAGTGTTCATCATTACTGTGTACATAGCACTTTCTGGCTCTTGTTCAGCTGAGGAAAAGCCATGGAATGAGTCAGCACCATTTAATAATATGTACCTATGAATTTTAATTGAAGTACAAATGCTGAGTTATTTCACAGAAGACAGCCACAGGGAACAACTCCCTCACTGGCGTTAAAGCAGGTGGTAATAGGGGGGCCGCCCCACCAGATCCCTGTGCTGAAAGTGAAGCATTCTGGGGTGACTGACAGTGGGGTGGCTGAGAAGTGGGAAAAACTTGAGCTTTCCCGCATCTAAACTCTTCAGGGAAACAGGAGCCATTTGGCAAAAACTCCAAACCACAAATAAGATTGGGTCCAGGGTTAGGATCCTTCTCCACCTCCTGCCAAGGAGCTGGTGATGTGAAGCGACGTCCCCACCTAGTCCCACAGCCCACCCTCATATCCTGTACTCTCAGGTAATTCAGTGTTTCCAACATAAGACGTAAGGGCCTGTTTTGTTTTGGACTTGACTAATGTCTTCAGACACATTGAGACAAGTAACGTGAACCACTCTGAGCTCACTGCCAGGCTGGAGCTGTGGACTTAGGGTGTGAGAGCCTCCGCCTTCCCCTAGTAAATCAGGCTGTTCTCTGTGCCTGCTACTGACCCCTGAGATCAGACGATGTCATGTCTTGAACAATCTGATCACTGATCCTGGCTTGCTGTACAATGGGTGGTATCAGCCATATGGGCAGGTGGCGTAGGGAGTCAACCCTGCCTTCTTAAGTCTTGGTAAGGTCCCCCAGGAAACATGACCACAGGAGACATCCCTTCCCACTCTTTCCCTGACACACTGTGCTAGGGAGGGAAATCTGAATGCTCGGTTTTGTTGATATACATCTCACCTTTTCTGGCCACTTCATATGATGCGCTTGGGGGGAGGGGGGACAAAAGGTGACAAGACAAACCTCGCCCTTGGCAGGCCAGTCACAGGAAGTGGGGGATGGAGTAGTTTGACAGCCTTCCTGCCCTAACAATCCCTCTCCTAAGTCTGTCGCACTGGAAGGGCTGGCCACCCACCCTCTTCATCTGAGCTTCCACTTCAGCAGTGATTGGGTGCCGTCCAACTACCTGATGCCTTTGCCCTTGGTCCCACTTGTCAGACTCAGGTCCACCTCTCTTGTTGGCGGTGTGGTGGCACAGGCCTTGGAAATCCTATCTCGACCCTCGTGAAAGCCTCTCCCTTGTTCCGGGTTTTACCTCTGAATTGTTATCTGACGGTGGGTGGGGATAGAAATGGGAACCAGGTAAACTGTATTACCTGCTCTGTCTCATCTTTTTCCACTTGTAAATCATAGATCCCATTGTTTCAAAGGGTTATAATCATGTTGGCATTTATAAAGACTTTTTATGGTCTTGAAGCACTTGGTAGTCATAAGTAACTACACAATTATCTGGAGAGACACCTCAGTGCAGTCTTCATTTTGTAAATAGAAACAATGAACAGTCACAGGGAAGGTGGTATAATAAAGCTCTGGTCATTCATGAAGTCATTCCTCAGTTTTTAAGGAGCTGCTGGTAGTGGATTTAGAGAGATATTTCATCTTTTCCTTAAGGATGAAAGTAAATTGAGAAAAATAGATATAAACAAATGAAAAATATAAAATGAAGCAGGTGCTGGGGTGGAAGGGTTATGGTAGAAGCAGGTACACAAAAAGCCACATGAGTTCAGGGAAGGGAGTGCTTGGGGGCAGGGAAGGCTTGACATAGAAGGGCTGGTGGAGCTGTGTTCTGAGTGCCTGTTCTGCCACCAATAGGCAGAAAGGAGCCATGTGACCTCGCATTTCACCAGGGTCCTCAACAGGAAAAGTGTTGAATTAGAATTGAACAGTTTCTTCAGTTCTAAACTGTTAGGCTTTCCGATATGTTGGGAGAGTTTGTAATAAAGTTGGTGTTTTGGAAGGGGTAGAAGGGGATCCTTACTAAGGATTGCCCTGGGAAAGCATTTTAATGAACCCTGTGAAAATCCAAATAAATGCCAGCTTAAAAGGAAGTTTTATTTATTCCCTGGTGCAGAGGTATGTTTAAGTGGGTGGGGTAAGCTGTCAAGGACCACGCTGCTCCACGCTTCTCCCTGAAGAACAAGCAGGTGTCAGAGGAGGCTGGAGTGAGCCCCTCATTCATACTGAAGTCAGCGAGCTCTCCCAGGGGCACTTCCCTTTGCCTGGGATCCACAAAACCTTTTATCCCCCATGTCCTGGGGGTCAGTCCACCCACTCAACTCCTTATACTGCCATCTCAGAAAGGGTATAATGAGGGGATGCTAGTGCACCTGAGGACATTCAGGGGTGTTGTCTGAAAAGCATAAGACATTAAGTAAAATCAGTAAAGCTCTCAGTAAAACCAGAAACCTACGTAAGGTTTAGTAACGACACCTCTTCCAATATCTAATAGGGGGCAGGGGTTTCGGTGCTTTGGGAATCCCTGGAAGCAAACCATCTCCAGTAGGAGTTAATGGGCCCCACTTGCCTTGTTTTAAACCACAGGGCTCCATAGGAAATCATGCAGTGTGTCCAACCACACCTACTGTGCTTGTTCTCTGTACCTGTCTGTGGTTTGTTAAACTTTGCAAATGCCCCTGAAGGTCTTAGACGATTATAATGTTTAGATTCAGAATAAATTATAGAGTCCCTGAGGCTTAGAAGCCAACTTCAAGGCTTTTGGTCACCAGAGGAATATTCTGGTCTCTCATGATATTCCAGAGTTTAGCAACATTTACTGAACAGACACCAGCATTTTTATTGTATTTGAAGTCCAGAGTTTAAGGACATACTTTTTTTCACAAGATAATATGAATTAGAATTATACTTCTTTGAAGTTAATATTGGTAATGAAATACAAACTATTCAGGTTTTTTTTCCCCTCAGTAGTCAAGATAAAGTAGTAACAACATTTTTTTATTTAGCATAGTTGGGTTTTGAGTAGTCTTAATTTATTCTACCTTTCATTCTATTATCTAATTCATTCTACCGTTACCCACTTAGCACCAAGTGAAGAACAGGCAGGAAGGCATCGTTGGAACTCCGCTGACTAGACAGAGTCAAGATTCCTGGGAAACAACCCTGCTTTCCTTCATTGTTTAGCATTGGAGTCACTAAGCATTTCACAACATCCCAGTGGGCTGGGTCATTGTTCACACAGAGGGATAAAGAAACCTGGAGAACAGGAATACTTTGATGAGTCAAAGTCACTGGAGATGTCAGTTTTCTCAGTAAGAATAAGTGGTCATACTCTCTAAGGACATTCTACAG